TTTGGGAGGCTGAGGTGAGTGGATTGTCTGAGCCCGCGGGTTCGAGACCCACCTGGGTAGGCGAGACCACATCTCTACAATAAATCAAAAAATTAGCCGGGCGTGGTAGTGCATGCCTGTAATTCCAGCTACTTGGAAGGCTGAGGAGGAAGGATCGCTGGAGCCCAGCAGGTCGAGGCTGCGGTGGCCGGGAGCGGCCACTGCACTCCAGTCTGGGTGACAGAGTGAGACTCCCACTCAAAAAAAAAAAAGTTTAGACTTAAAAACCAACAGTAACTAAATAACTCCTCTCCCAAGCAGACCAAGGAAATAACAAAGAATAAAACAGATGAAACAAGCCGGGCTTGGTGGCTCAGCCTGTAATCCCACGCTTTGGGAGGCTGAGGTGAGTGGATTGCCTGAGCCCACGGGTTCGAGACCCACCTGGGCAACTTGACGAGACCTCATCTCTACAATAAAACAAAAAATCAGCCGGGCGTGGTAGTGCACGCCTGTAGTTCCAGCTACTTGGAAGGCTGAGGTAGAAGGATCGCCGGAGCCCAGCAGGTCGAGGCTGTGGTGGCCGGGAGCGGCCACTGCACTCCAGTCTGAGTGACAGAGTGAGACTCCAACTCAAAAAAAAACAAAAAAAAAAACTGATGAAACAGAAAACAGTCAATACAAGGATCGTCAAATCCAAAAGCTGTTCTTTGAAAAAATAGATATAAAAAATTCAAAAAACTCAAGCAAGACTAATAAAAATAAAGAAAGCACATATAAATGAATACTAGGAATAAGACAGCCAAGATTAGCAGAAAATATTAAGAACAAGGTCGGACGTGGTGACTCACACCTGTAATCCCAGCATTTTGGGAGGCAGATGTGGGACGATAGCTTGAGCCCAGGAGTTTGTAGCCAGTCTAGGCAACATAGCAAGACCTCATCTCTACAAAAAATAAAAAAATTAGCCAGGTATAGTGGCACACGCCTATAGTCCCAGCTACTCAGGAAGCTGAGGTAGAAGGATCACCTGAGCCCAGGAGGTAGGAGGCTGCAGTGACGCTTGATCATGCCACTATACTTCAGCCTGGGTGACACAGGAAGACTCTGACTCAAAAACAAATAAACAAACTATGCCAATAATTTTGAAACAGAAAACTTCCTAGAAATATAAATTACTGACTCAGAAACAAGATAAATAGAACCTTCAGTCCTATAATCTTCAGCAAAAAATGAAAAACTAGTTAAAAATATTCCCATGAGCCAGGCTTGGTAGCTCAGTCTGTAATCCCGCGCCTTTGGGAGGCTGAGGTGAGTGGATTGCCTGAGCCACTCCAGTCTGGGAGACAGTGTGAGACTGCAACTCAAAAAAATAAAATAAAAATAAATAAACAAATAAATTCAAAGATCAAACATTTCTAACCTAATCAAGCGTTTCAAGACACTACAAAAGGGGCGATGCCTAATTCATTTAAGAGGCTAATACGGACGGGTGCAGTGGCTCACGCCTGCACTCCCAGCACTTTGGGAGGCAGAGGTGAGAGGACTTCCTGAGCCACAGTTCAAGACCAACCTGGGTAACATGGTGAGACCTTGTCTCTACAATAAATAAAAAAAAAAAAAATTAGCCAGGCGTGGTAGCGTGCCCATAATTCTGGCTACTTGGAAAGCAGAGGTGAAGGATCGCCTGAGCCCAGCAGGTTGAGC